GCAGAATATTACACTTCTTTCTGTAACCCAATTCCAGATCTTACAATTATTTTCATCTTCATAACATTTTGGCTGTTGCTCCTCTCATCATATCTTTTTGGCTGCCTGTGTCTCACCCCCACCCATGTATGTAATATATATATAAATTTCCAAGAGGATAGAATCCAGGTAGAGCTCAATGTCCAGGACAGAGCAATTTTTTTTTGTTTTATTTTTTTTAATTTGGAGGTCTGATGAATTACAATTCCAATATAATAAATTATAACCATGGAATGTTAGTGTTTGAGCCTTATATATATATATATATATATATATATATATACACACACACAGGGTGTCTCAAAATAATGTATACACTCTTTAAATATTAATAATACATTACCATGATGTGAGAACTTATATGTATGAAAATATGCAAAACAGATGGATTGGAAGACGAGGGACAATTGAATACCCACCTGAATATCATCGGATTTGACACCCTTGGATTGTGGGGGTTTCTAGAAGACAGTTTACAACAGGAAACCTGAAACAATTGCTGAAATGAGAGTAGCAATTGAAAAAGAATGTGCTCAAATATCAGAGGAAATGATACTGGACATTTGTAGGTCTATTTCTTCAAGATATGAAAAGTGTATTGAACAGAATGGCAAGCAGTTTGAGCACTTGATGCGAATTCCTCATTATATGAACATTCTGCCATTGCCCCAAATAGCTTTTTCTTATTAAAGTCAATTTTCTATGTTTTTTTTTTTTTTTTTCTCAAATTCTTTAAATGTGTATTCTTTCTCTTGTATTAATCTTATTTACAAGTCAAAATACATAAATTGAATAAGTTATAACGATTCTAAGAGTGTATACATTATTTTGAGACACCCTGTGTGTGTGTGTGTGTGTGTGTGTATATATATATATATATATATATATATATATATATGAAGGAAGAAATGGGAGGAGAAACCAGTTTGCTGGCAGAAGAGCAAGGCTGAAAGGCAGCTAGAATTAGTAAGGCGCAACAACTGTGATACATTTAAAATTCTTTATGAAGAGTTATGGCCGGATGCAGAAGAAGGAATTTGTAAATTCCTTTCATTTTCCTGTCTATGAAACTAATCCATGTTTGCATAAGATTTGTAATAAAAACTTGATCATCCAATAAAGATTGTGATAATATAGATGGTAAGATAGTCAAATGGGGTAAGAATAGAACAGACATAAGGTAATGGCTAATCTTAGAAGATGCCAATACCAGTGGAATTTTCATGGGTTAAGTGAGTAAAATTTGTAAATATTAATATGAAGAACATTGTGTTCTTGTAACCAAACCATGTGAACACCATTAAGACCTCCACCCAGGAGAAAAAAAACTAGCTTTTGATGAAATTCAGGTAAGGGAAAAGGAACTAAAAATAAGTTTTCTACACCAAACCCAAATTCACTAGAATGCTTAAATTTCTGATCACCCACATATTACAAAAAAAAAAAAAAAATTGTATACTATTTCCATGAGGAGTGTCTTTTTTGTGTGTGTGTGTGTATATATATATATATATATATATATGCTGTCTGGTTCACTACACAAGGAGAAAAGATGAATGAATTTGAAGTCATCCTATTCTATATCATAAGTATGCCAAAAAATATATGCAAAAAATTTGTGAGCTTGTATAATAAGAGCAATGATTAGAAAGTAACCTCATTTTACACACTCACCTCACAATTATTAGGAAAACCATATGAAAAATGTATCCCAAAATCTGTATACAAAAACCATCCTGTAGAGAATATTAATGAAAGGTTAACTGCCAATGGAAACTACTTTGTGGAGGGCAGATCTTAAGAATGAAAGGTTTTAGATCAAATATTGAAGAATAAATTAGAATCCCATTCTCGCAGGAATAAAGTTTAGAAATGTATAATAAATTATATCCATACTTCTGTTTTTTATGTCACGTAATGTCTTGTCACATAATGTCTTGAATGTATGGCTGTTACAGTACTATATCACAGTAATGTGCATGTGACAGTGTGGTTCATATTCTAACCATGAGAGCTGGGTTCGAATCTCACCATGGTTGATTTGTTTGTCAGGAAGGAGACTTCCTAATATTATTGGAAAGGGTCAATCCCAGTGTGTGGCACCTTTTTGGAAAGTGCCTGAAAACTATACCATGGCTTGACTCAAGCCTTGTGAGTGAAATTGGTTAGCTGGAACACTTGTATGCTGTCAATAGCTGTGCTAGTCACGAGTCATCGTGGCTGAGGGTTCTGGCCTTGTTAAAATTGTTGATCCTGATAGATAATACACTCTCTCCCAGAAACTGTAACTAAGGTCTGCTCAGCATAGTTGCAGTATAAACCACAGGTGGGCTCTGTGGGTGTTGAACAAACACAAATGCGCCCGAGCAAGCATCTGCTATAGGGATTGGCTAGCTGCCCTAGTAGATGGATATGTATACATACATATCACAGTAGTAGCTAGTATTTGTCTGTATAATTTTATTACTTGTAGATGATGTCTAGAAATAAAGTCAAAATGTACTTATAATAATTCTACAAATGAATATTTTTGACTTTTTGACTATATTGGTTGAAACTTGATTGTCTCAAAGTCGCCATTATTTAATAATGGAATCGGAGCAGCCCATAAGCAGCTGCTTCGGGTAGATGGAACTCAGCAGCCCAGGAAGGGTTAGGAGAAAAAAAAAATCACCTTTTTTTTTTTTTTTTTTTTTTAAATAAAAAAAACAAAAAAACCCTCCTTTGCTTAGTGGTCATATCCAAACATGGAAAATGGCTATGGAATTAAATCCAGACAGAAACTATGGAATTGGAACCTTGAAGGTGGCTGGTTGTCATTACTGACAACTTTCTGACAACTCCTGCAGCCAAGCCGACCCCAAATGTAATGCCCTGTATTCCTTTGGATTTTGTATTGCTGAGAGGGAAACAAAGTCTGGGTAGACACAACCTCCATATACGATTGCCCAGGGCTGTGTCCTGGAGTGGTCACTCTGATTTCTCTACTGAAGGACAGAATTTTAACTGTAGAGCACATTACCTTTTATCTCTCAAGATGAACGGACACCTACTACTGCTATTAATTTAATTTATGAAGGTATTTATAAATCTTTAAAAGTTTATTTGACTTATCTCAATTGACCAACTCCAGAATTTTGTATAAAAAATGCTCTTCAGGGCACCAGAGCTTCATTAAATCTTTCAAAATTATCAGATTGTTGATATAATTATATCTGATAGAAATGTATTTAGTTTATAAATGTATTTATTGATGTCAAAACCATTAGCAATACATTAGTCCCATTCTATCTGTAAAGAGTACTTTGATTCTTTTCTCTTTCATTTTATTCAAACATAGTAAAAATCACTGACCTCTATAGTAAAATCATTATACAAATGAGTTCATGTCAGTCAATATGACTTGCATTAATTTCTGCCTCATCACATTTTTCCTTATTTTTCAATTCACAACATGAAATTGTCTACAGAAAGTTGCACAAAATAAATTTTAAATAAAATAATGCATTTTTTTTAACTCATTTATTCTACAATTATTAAGCATGCAGTATATATTGGAAATAAGTTTTTGATAAGTTTTCTCCTTGGGAGCCTGTTCCATGTTGGCCTAAAGGCTAATGAGAAAGGTGGACTAGCAAAAAAAAAAAAAAAAAAAAAATCTAACATCAAAATAACTAATCTAAAAATTCTGTGTAGAAATTTCAAAAGAAAATTAACACTTGTATAAAAAAAAAAAATGAGGAAATGACAAGCAATATGGGTGGGACACACTACCAGAAAACAAAGTTTACAATTACCAACCAAACATCAGAAAGGAAGACACCAGGAAAGGCGTTGGGGGGCGGGGGGTCAAAAAAGTGGGCACTGTGCTAACTAGTTTGTATTGGACATACAAGGCTAACTCATGTACACCTGCTAAGAGCTGAAGATGTTCCTCAATGCACCCACTGCAATCAGATTGAAAGTTAAACACATTCTGATTGGATGTAAAAAGTTAAACACATTCTGATTGGATGTAAAAGCCATCAGCTTGAATGTAGTAAATACTATAATATTTAAAGATGTTGCCCCCCTTGGTCAGATAAGCAGGTTTCTAAAAGAAATAAGAATATTTAAAAATTCTTTTTAAAAATTCTTTGTGTATTAGTATATAAGGATTGGTTTAAATGGTTCAAATTGACAGATTATCAATTGATTTAAAATGAATTCTAGCTACCCAACTGATCACCTCCAACTACTGGAAAAAAGAAAAGTATATGTAACATGCATTCACCTGGTTGGCATAAAAAAAATGTTTAAAATGATAAAATCTGTCAGATTAAAAATAAACACACACACACACACACACACACACACACACAAGGAAAAAATTTTATGAATTTAAAATGTTTTACTAAGCTTCATTAGTTTTTGGAAGCCAAATTTTAAGCTATTTAATACTGAGTGAAATTTTAAATCTGTATTTTCAACTAATATCTTTGACATATGCTATATTTATGGAAAAGTCTTGGGGTAGATATGAATACAGGAACAGATGTTGTATGAATATTGCATTGTGATTCAGTTTCATATTGCAAGTGATCTTCAGATTGTGTGTGTGTAATATATAAAGAAAATTTTAAATTCATTTTATGTTTCACCTTTGAAAGTGAAGTCTGAAAATCCAGAGAAAAATAAAATTTTCTGAAATAAATTATAACTAATGGGGCCTTAAAGTTGTTTGTTTTTCTTTAAATTAAATTATTTGCTCTGACTTAACATTGAGCTCTCAGGATTTCATCCTCCTTGGGATTATACATATGGATTACCAAGATTTTCGTTGTTTTATATATATATATATATATATATACACACACACACACACAACATATAAGTGCTGCAGAAAAAAGATACTGACATCTGTGATAGTGTTTAGAATTTTCTTGTTTATAATCATGGAAATATCAAATCCTGGTACTTACCAGTATCTTCCAAGTATTCTACAGTCGGCCTGTATAACATCACGGATTCTAAAAAAACAAAAAATACAATCAATGTTTTTGTTTGTACATTCAGCACTGAAAATCAAGTTCATATAAGTTTTGTTAATGAAGACCAAAATAGGGGAAATGCATGGCTTTGAATATTTAGGAAGGAGTCTAATTGAATGATTTATGTTACAGTTTATCAACCCATTTGTGTGTTATTTAAAGCTGAAACATTTAGGATGGCATGAAAAAATGATTTTTTTTTTTTTTTTTTTTTTTTTTTTTTTGATAATATCAATGATTTTTTCCAGATGCAAGTTTTACCATTTAATCTATAGCTTGGGGGGAGAAATTGATTCAAACTTTCCCCAAGGTTTATTTGCATGTAAGTGAATGTAAAATACCTGACTGTAATTTGAAATCTATGCTCAATTTTAAAAAAAAAATTTTTTAAATAAATTCTGAAACTAGAAATTTTAAAATTGTAAAGTGTAGAAAAACAATGTTTCAAAAGTGTCACATTATGATACCGTAAAGAGACAAAAAACAAGATTTAATTTTAATTAAGATTAAATAAACAAAAGAAAACTTGACACCTTTTAGCTTTTAAATGGTACCATTTCAATCCTGCTACCATTTGTAGTTCATGGCATAAAAGTTCTTGGAATGTGACAGACTTTTGAAACAACCTGTATATAAAAAGCTGATGTCCTAACTACCATTATTCACAGAAACAGTGAGACAACAATAAACCTCAAGGCTTATAGCATTAGATATTTCAAAGGTCTTTGACATTGTGGGACATAAAGGATTGTTGCACAAGCTCTCTAACAATGTAATCATTGGAAGAGTCTTTTCAGTCAAAGTTCTTTCTAACTGGTAGATCCCTGAAGGTTGTCATTAATAGCCATTCTTCCAAGGCCCTAGCAATCACTGCAGGCATCCCCCAGGGACCAACCCTCTTTTTACTTTATATAAATGACCTGCTTAATAGTATACTCCAATCATATCTATCATTGTAGCAAACGACACTCATCTCCTCCGTATTCCATTAGTGAGATGTAAGTTCCTCTTAAGTAGCTTCTTCCTGTGAACCACTGCTTTGTGGAACTGACTCCCAAGGGGATGCTTTCCCAATTGCTACAATCTCAACCTGTTCAACTCTAGAGTTATCTTCCACACACATCTGCATAAAAACTCCATAACCCTCTATCTTGAGTGGCTCCTGGGCCTCATACAAGGTGATTTTATAACCATATATTCCATTTTTCCTTTTTCCTTTTTTTTTTTTTTCATCAGTTGTTCTAACCACACTCCCACTTTCTAAACTTGACAACTTGGTCGAACAATTTTTTGGCTACAACTGGCTACATGCGAGATGTCTTTCCCCCTCTGCAACCTATAACTCTCCTCATCTATATGTACAATCTTACTCCCCCACTAATAATAATAATAGACCTGCCTAATGCTTTATACACTGATCAAAATGTTAAATTAAAGTTTATTTTCATAAAAAGTTTTGCACAGCGAGGAATCGGATCGAGTTTTTGCTAATAATGATTTCCAGCAGAAAATACACTGTCTACAAAAGCATCTGTTGTTGAGAATTCCCATTGCTGTTTATTTCTTACTCTGCTGATGGACACAGGCATGTCTGAATATTCCGAACTTAAAACCTTTCTTTTTATGTTTCATTTCTATCATATGGTAAATAATTAATATTTAATGTTTATCATACTGACTATATTGGTACCTTTTCATTTGTCCTTGTTTTGTTAACTATATATATATATATATATATATATATAATATATATATATATAAATATAATGAGAGATTTAAAAAAAAAAAAAAAAAAAAAAAAAATGATTTAACTCTGGTCAATTTTTTTGTTGATTTGCCCATTAAATGTTGTCCCTGGGTGGGATGGACATTATGCCAGTTTCTGCAGGTTTTGAATTTAAAGTTGCCAACCCATCCTAGAGTTCTGCCTCCCCTGCTATTTAAGAAATATCTAGGGTGGGGAAAGAGATACCTTTATACCTCACCCAAAGGTATTTGGATGAAAGTGAACGCAACAACCATGACAGGAATTTGAGTTCAGCATACCAGTCCTATTTTCTGCACTGGTAGCTGCTATGCTACGTGCACGTCTATATTCTGGTCGGTCAGTCAAGGTGACTTCAAATGTTGATTCTCAAGGCAAGCAAGCTTTGAGCCTTTCTGATAAAAGCCAAATTATCGTGACCTGAAAACCAAATCTAAGTACATCCATCACTTTTGATATTGCGTTATTTTAATGGATACTCGTATTTGAGTAGATGCTCTGTACAGTATTTATTAGACCGTATATTTTATGTCTACCAACCTGAATAAATAAAAAAAATATTGGATTTAATCTATTCCCTAAAAAATTGTCTTTGTTTACGTTAGGATATGAAATGGAGCAGACTTGTATGTTTTGAGAATCAGGAAAGATGTGTGTTCAAAAACACCATTTAGGATTTGATCAGGAGATCCTATGTGTCTGAGAGCACAAGGCATATCAGATATAATGTCAGTTTCCCTAGGGAACACAGGTTTGAATCCTGCTGGAGTTTTCTAATGATTTCTCAAATATTCAGGCCAGTAGATGTAAATAAATAAATAAATATAATCCACGGAGTAATGGATAGCGGCTTGGATTAAAGAATCGCAGAGCCGAGTTCGAATTCCAGTCGAATCCATTACATTCACTTACGTGCTAATACCCTTGGGAAAGGTATGAATCCTCTTCTTCTCCCTCCAGCTATGGGTAAAATAGCAGGACAGACTGGATTCCATAGCCTTGGATGGCAACTGGTCTAGGAGGAGGACAACTCTGAATTCAAAACCTGCGGAGGGTCGTTTGGGGACCTTGTGGCACTTAGTGCACCAGGTCTCTGTATTTGCCCCCTTCAAAAAGTGTGGATGGTCCTGCACGAAGCCTTCACCACTATAATCAAATCTCATGTGTTGTTGTCGGGCTGTCGGTTTCCTGGAAACTAATCTGCTTGACCCTCATATGTCGAATCTTGATGAGAGAGTTGACTAATATATATATATATATATATATATAGTATTTACAGAAAGCATAATGAAAAAAATTATGGTAATGGATAGCAACGCATAACTTTGTATAAATACTTATATTAATGAACAAAATAGTTTTGTATTACTTGCACCCCTAAAGATGATTGTGGAAAAAGGTCAAAAGTACTTGGGAAATGAAAATAAAAGAAATTTAAATAGCTATACCACATTTCTCTCATCCTTCAGCATCAATACACGGGAGGTTATTTGTGAATATGAACAAATTTTGTTAAAAATTAGACAAAATGTCTGATTTATTCAATCAGACATGCTTATATATATAATATATATATACACACTTTTACACTCCTTGCCACATTCATTACATACAATCACACCCTGTATATTGAAATATTAATGGTAATAGATTTGCTTTAATTTCAACTTAAAGAATGTAGTTATGATTAAAATAAAGAAATTCATTCAAGCAAAAATATAGTTGAGTATCCTCTTTCGTAAATTTACGTCCAACATATTTTTCCTCACAAAAGTCCTTATAATACAAAGTAGGATTGTTAAAAAAAAAAAAAAAAATAAAAAATACAGTAAAGTGAATGGAATGTATTCAAAACTAACTCAGCAGATGTCAAAATTTAAATATCTTCATATCTTTAACATTTCAATATAAACTGTACCCAGAATTTTAATTTTTTTATTTTTAGTATGTCGATAAAACAATGGTCAGGAGTCTATATATCCTCACTTGCAGCCACATGTTGAAACATTGATTCTCATGTGACCATCAAAGTTAAACAATGTCAAGCCTAGTCAGTACCCAGATGGGTGACTGCTTGGGAATAGAAAGTGCTGTAAGGTTGGATATGTGGGCGGTGCAAGAGATAATGGCTCGGAATTGTTAATCAGAGAGCTGAGTTTCAATTCCTGTTGAGTTTATTTTCACTGACATGCAAATAACCTTTGGGAAAGGTATTAATCCACCACTTCTCTCAAAAGCTAAAAGTTTATTAGTAAGACTTGTATTACTAAACTAATATTATCCTCCTCCCCACCCCGGACAAAAAAGATGATTACTTACAGTCTAAAAATATTTTCTGGCTTTAAATAACCTACAAAGGGTTGATAAACTATAGAAAATGAATCTATTTTATTGGTGGGTAACATAAATGTTACCTTTTGTGTGCCTTTTTCTGTCATGGCAAAGCCATTGTAATTAAAACCAACAGATCTTCTAGTTATTCTACATATAACAAGGAATATGTTTACTTGAATATTTTTAAAGTGAGGAACATTGATAATATCCATGAATGAGACTCTTACTAGAAGTTTCACCACCAATACTATTTTGAATGTTCAAACCTAAGTACATATATAGTATCTATCTATCTATTGGTGAGATAAGAACAAATGAAGTATAATTCCACTGTCTATAACATTAAATTTAAAAGAGGGTCAATACAGAGTAAAGCTAAATAGTATTTATTATAGGAGATTAAAACAAATTTGTTAAAAAAAAAGAAATCACTACACAATAGCAATCATGTTTTGACACTACAAATGTTTCCTCGAGCAATGGTAATTATTATAGAGTAATTTACCATCACCTGAGGAGACACATTTGTAGTGTCAAAACATAATTGCTATTTTGTAGCGATTTTTTTTTTTTTTTTTATCTCCTATTATATATATATATATATATATATATATATATATATATATATATATATATATATATACACAGTCTGATGAAAAGTAGTGGGACTATTACTATGTTGCACATACAGTGGAATCTCAATTTAATGGACTAATAGGACTAATTTAATGGACTAATAGGACTAATAGGAGGGAGGGTCTTCCATTAAAGGTGTTTATCCGTTAATTTGAAGTAATTTTTCCCTGGCTTAAAAACACCCAGTACAGTACAAAACTATTGTAAATACAATATATATGTATTTTATCTTTAAGTTACTATA